GAGGCATATAAGGGATGCAGTCCTGAAAGCAGTGTCTGGAGCACCTCTGAAATTGGGGGGAAATGTTATCAGAACGCTGAAGGATATTCCATTTGATGTAAGACAACGGAGGAAGAAATATAAAGAACTGGTGACTTTTCTTCAGACGAATTCAATTGGATATAAATGGCTTTTTCCTGAAGGAGTGACTTTTAAGATAAAGGATAATAAAGAAAAGATTGACTCTGTGTTTAAAGCTAAAGAGTTCCTGAGGGCCCAGCTGGGGAAAGCAGAGGAAGACAATGGTAAATCGAGTGGAGAAGTGGATTCGGAATCTTCTGGGGAGGACTCTTTGACGCAACAGGGTTATCCCAGTATGTGTAGTTCCCCTCTCCCTTTTTTCTTTGTAGTATTTGTAGTGATATAAAAATAATAAAAAAATCCCCTCCAGGGGAATAAAAAAAAAAGTTTGAAATTTTTCACTTCTGTAAGTACAGGAGTTCCTGCAGCTTGTGAATTGCAGCAAAGACTGTTCTGATTGGGAGGTCATGTTTCTCCTGATGTTCAGTAGTTTAATGGAAAAATTAACCAATTAAAGGTAGTTGAGTTTAGGTAAACATTAGCCAAAGTCATTTTTGAAACTTTCATTTCTAGTGTATAGATTATGTGGATAAACCAGATTCACAGTTCCAAACAAAAAATCCATATATTGTATATTTTGCATTTATTGATTACCAAAAAAAGAAGATATAGGTTTAGATCATACAAACCACCAGCAGAAACCACTGATGGTCTGGGATCTTCCCTCCCATCCTCGAACAGCCATTTCTGATCCCTAAATCACAGAAATAATCTTTCCGGGGATCAGAAATGGCGGGTGGGTGGGCGGGCAAGGAAGATCCTGTGATTCTTGCACCCACAGATCACAGTGTCCAAACCATAGAAATCAGCATGCAATTTTATATTGTAAACTGATTTTAATATCCCCTTTTAAATTGGTCCAAGGCCAACCACTATTTTTTCATAAGCATGATTTGTTTGCTGCTTTTAGCATTGTATATTTTAATGAAAAGACACAGCAGTGTTACCGTGGAACATCATTGCTTGTGTTTTTTTAGAACCAGGAATCATTGGAAGCAGAAAACAACACGAGGCTCTCCTATGCACCAAATGAACAGAAGTATGTGTCAACTCCAGAGAGGCACATCATGGACTTCCGTGATACTGAAAAATCTGCCAGGAAGCCTCCTCTGAAAGTCTCCAATATCTTAGTCTCGCAGTCAAGTATAAGTACAACAAGTCTGCAAAGACTGCCCTACAGAGTTTCCTGCAGTTCTTCTTCTGACAGCATTGTGAACTGGTATCCTCGCAAGGCCCAAAAGGTAGAATCCAAAGTACAGAGCGCGGATCTCCTCGACAGACACTCAGAACATTTTACCGACAGCCAGCAGCCATTCACACCGCGCACCTTAAAATCAGATGCCAAATCCTTCCTGTCACAGTACAGATATTATACTCCAGCCAAACGGAAAATCAAAGATGTCCCAGTACAGCATGTGGAAGTGGAAACACAGACTGACTTAAGCAGGTGGGAAAACTTCTTCATCCTGCATCTGATTGCTGATTTGTACAGTCTAAAAATGGAAATCTGTACCGGGGCATCCGTGTACCTCTCCCCCCAGTCATTTAATGTGGGCTCCTCATATACCACATTAATCTTTGAAGATTCTCTTCTCTTCTTCTTCTCTTCTTTTTTAATCTTTGCAGTTTTCAAGTAGAATCTGAAGAATTTGTAAAAAGGGATATGGCTGACTTTCAGAAGATCATAAAGGAGGTAACTCAAGTGATATGTTTCGATGTTTTACAGCCTACCAGACACTTAACAGGCCCTCCCTGGGGATAGTTGGGTTTTTTATTACTTCATTTATACCCTGCATTTTACCCACTAGAGACCCCAAGTCAGCAAATGACCTACTAAGCCTAGTTTCGATGTCAGGCCTGCACCAGATACACGTTCACTTTCTGATAGGGAACTGTTCTTTAGATGTTACAGCAACAGCACACAAGCCTCTTTCCTGTGGTGCTGCTGTAGCATTTGAAGGCTGAGCACAGGATGGGCAGCACTTAACGCTCAGGTCCTTCCCCATGGACTTTTCTCCTGGCCAAGAGCGGGACAATCGATGAGAGGGGAAAGATCCATGCAATTGCCAAGATAGTGCCAGGCCTTTAAACATTAAAACAGCACCATGGGATGAAGCTACAGCTAGGTAAAATGTTAATGTGTAATATTGTCCAACGCTTGTATTTGTTTTAAGCTTAAGTGATGCTGGATCAGACCAGAAGTCCATCTAGTCAGGCATCCCGTTTCCCACACATGGCCAGCCAGATGCCCCAGAAGACCTGTAAGCAGGGCGTGGAGGCCAAAACCTTCCTAATGTTCTTGTCACACAGCAGTATTCCATTTAGCTGCCAGAGCTCATAGCCACTGAAGGATATGTTTTCCATTTCTCTACTCCATCTCAACTAGGGTCCTTGAATGCAATAAAGTAATTCTTCATTATATGAAGAAATATATCCTTTTGTATGCCCTGAATCTAATTAATCTACTTCATTGGATACCCCTAAATTCTCATATAACGTGAGAGGCTGAAAAGTTCTCTCTATCCACTGTTCTCCACCCCATTCATAATTTTTATAAATCTCTATGACAACCCCTCCCCTCTGTTGTCTTTTCTCTGCACTCAGAAGCACCCTTTCTCATAGGGATGGTGCTCTAAAATCTTGATTGTATTTGCTGCTCTTTGTAAACACAGGGGAAATACTCATGAAAGTCTACAGATCTCATAATGTGAGATTTCTATGCAATAATATTACTGCTGTTCTATACATAGAAGTATGACATATGCTCAGGGCTATTTTTGGGCAGGAACGCATAGGAACGGAGTTCCGGCTCGCTTCAGAGTTGGCCACACCCACTACAGCTAAAACCTCTGCATGTGTGGATACAGAGGGAAGGCCTGGAGAGTGCCCCCCGAGCGACTCCAAGACGGGCAGGCCGGGGGGCCCTGGAAGGATCGGGGAGGCATTTAAATGCCTCCCCCGTGCCTTCCCCGGCCTGTCCCCGGGCCCCCCGCACCCAGAGGGTGCCCGGGCAAGCCAAGGGAAGGCAGTTTAAACTGCCTTCCCTTTAAGGGGGGTCTTGCACGGGCTCCCCGCAGCAGCAGGGCTCCCAGGCAAGCCAAGGGAAGGCATGGGTGTGGCCTAATATGCTAATGAGCTATGCTGTCAGGGGTGTGGCCTAATATGCTAATGTGCTTCTGCTGTTGGGTGTGGCCTGTTATGCTAATGAGTTCCTGCTGGGCTTTTTCTACAAAAAAAGCTCTTCATATGCTATACATTGTGGGGGGGCTATAACATAGCTTGGTTGCAAATTAACAAGAGTCTTACAGAAATCAGCATAATATAAGGCATTGGACTGAAGCATGCAACATTTTCATACAGTAGAAACAGTGAACTGGAGCATGTTTTCATGTCTAAAATATCTAGATTGTTTTTTGGGGGGTGAGGTGACAGTTACGTCTGGATTTTGACTATATTTTAAAAAATCACCAGAACAACCAGTAGAAACCCTAACAGGTCGATTAGTGATGGGGGGTGCTTTACCTCTGAGATCTTTGCACTAATGTGAAAGGCACAGTTTATATCAGCCAAAAATTGGTTGTCTGAGATAGAAGCCACAATCCAACTCACTGCTGGGTGCCCTAAAAATTCAACCCTAAAGCGAGTTGCACCCTTCTAAGCCTACCTAAGAGTCTTCATTAGAAGGAGGTAAGCCCTACTTGTTTTGGTGCAGAGCACTTAAGAATGCAAGATTGGGAGTTTAATTTTTAAGGATCTGTTTTTAATACAGTCTCAGTTTGCAGAGAACCAGTCTATTTCTTGCTTTCTTTATTTTTAGTTTTAAATGTACTTCCTGCCCTTCAGGGCTTTTAAGGTGCTCCAGTACAATTTTAAGACCTTGTATAATCACAAGCAGTTAAGAACAAGCATAAAAAACATGAATTCCCCATTTTTTTTCAGTCTTATCTGTGCCATTTTGCACAATATATCTTTCCACACATTACAGATTGTAAAACCATCTCATATGGGGGAAATGAACACATTAGAAAGATATGTTCACTGTCATTAAAAATGTATGTATGTGTAGCCAAGGAGCCAGCAGTTGTTTGCTTCCTGCTCTTTGTTCAGATCTTTAAAACTACACTTTTGTCTCCTATAGTGCATGTTTGTGTGTGCACATATGTGTGCAAACAACCACACTCATAAACAGTGTGGTAATACTCTTCATAGAAATGTTATCGTTGTTTAAAATTGTGACTTTCTTCTGAGCCATCTGAAGGGGCATCCACATAACCACAAACACAATCCTTCTACGTGGAAAGGAATCCAGATAGAGTTTCTATCCAGGTTGCTGCTTCCCTCCCTCACCAAAACATGCCATTGGGCTAATGGTCCTAGCCTTTCCCACTATTCTGCCTCACACAGAGTTACTGAGCAACCTGCTTCTCTCTAGGTCCCCAGTGTCTAGCATACCTTTACTCTTTTTAAACAAGCAAAAAAATTAGTTTTATTTAAAAGTCGTGTAACGTACCATTGGTGGACTAGCTTGTGTGCTGAAGGCCAGAAAGATGCTCACTGTGAGACCACGGTCTACGAAGTGCAGGAATGCAGTGATTGGCCTGAGCATGTTGCTCTAGTCCCAGCACATCAGGAGAAGTGAACATGGGCAGGAGGGGGAAGGATCCTGCCACATAGCAGGACACAAATCCTCCCACACTGGCTTCCCTTTATCCTGCCTTTCTTGCTTTCCTCCTTTTTTTCATCCATGACAACAACAGATTAAAAAAAACAACAACTTTGTGTTACAGGTAGAAGACTCAGTGTCTGCCATGGAAGATAATTGTGGAGGAATAAAGACACCTTCTCAGTTCTCCTCACCAAGGTACATGAAATTCAGAGGAAAATATTTATGTCTTCTCTCTCTTGCTTTGCTGTTGAGGATGGTCTCATTACCAAGCCTGTCTGTGAAACCTAAGAGGGTGTCTTTTTGGAGATTAAGCCTGTTCACATACAGTCTGAGTCAGAGTATTTTACACTCCTCTTCCAATAAAATTTCAAGATCAAAGCTAGTATTGCACAGCAAGTCTGAAAGAGAAAAAAAATGTTGGTACACCTTCTGTTTTGCTCTGTCCCAGAATACAATGCACAAAACGAATATTGGAGGAGACCTTGAGACAAGTGATGGATAAGTAGTTCCCATAAACTTAACCCAAGGGATGGACTTTTTTTATCACTGGTGAACTAAAATGACGCTGCTTCCTTCTTCTGTGTGTCATAGGTTGAGCAGCAGAAAGCAGTATAATTTAGTTATTCATTTAGATATTTATACCATGCTTTTTTCCCTGGTGGGGGGGGGCAAGCAGCTTACAGCTCCCCTCCTCCATTGTATCCTCACAACAACAACCCTGTGAGGTAGGTTAGGCTGAGAGAGAGAGACCCTGGGCCAGGGTCACCCTTCCTTGCCAGAGTAGTGATTTAAATCTGGGCCTTCCAGTTCTTAGTCTGTCATTACAACTCCTGCACTGCACTGATTCATTAAATGATTCCCAGTATATTATTTTCATTTCCAGCATCTCTTGCTTCTATACTTCCTCCCCTTCATACCTGTGTCTAGACCTAAGCAGCTGATGGAGACCAGAAGGCTCTACGTCCTATCCTCCCGTCCTATCCTCCCGTCCTATCCTTTGATGGCTACTGTTTGGCAATCCTGAGAGAATTGAGGCCAGCATTCACATTATGTGATCCACTGGGCTGAAGCTTGGTGTTTTAAAAATTAATATTAACTTATAAAATCTCTTGCATTTGCTCTTATGGAAGATTGAATTGAATCTGTGTGTGTGTGTTAAGTGCCATCAAGTCACTTTCGACCTATGGTGACTGTATGAATTAATATCCTTCAAATAGGGTTGAAGGTCTTACCTCCTTGCTGGTGGGGGTGGAAGGGAGCTCTCTGGGAGTGAAGGGGCAGGGCAGTATCACCATGCACAACGTCACCATCATGATGATGTCACATGGAAGTAATGTCATCATGCCGGGGACATTGCATAGCGACACTCTGGTATTTTGGGCAAAACTCTATGTTTACCATAGAGTTTTGCCCAAAATAACAGAGTGTTGCTGTGTGACATCCCTGGCATGTTCATGTCACTTCTGCATAATGTCATCATGTTGGGGACGTTGGGTCATGGCTGTTGGGGGCGAGCTGGATTGCCAACTTTCCTCCAGGGGTGGGGGATTCCCCACTCCAAGCTTTAATTCCCCACTGCTACTCCAGTGACCGGAGTAGCATCTCCTGGTGGCATTATGTCACTTCTGGGGGAAATCTGGAAGTGATGTCAGTTTGCTCTAGGAACTGACAAAATGCTGTGGTAAAGCAATGTCACTTCCACATTTTCCCTGGAAGTGATGTAATGCCATTGGTTGATGGCTACTGTTTGGCAATCCTGAGAGAATTGAGGCCAGCATTCACATTATGTGATCCACTGGGCTGAAGCTTGGTGTTTTAAAAATTAATATTAACTTATAAAATCTCTTGCATTTGCTCTTATGGAAGATTGAATTGAATCTGTGTGTGTGTGTTAAGTGCCATCAAGTCACTTTCGACCTATGGTGACTGTATGAATTAATATCCTTCAAATAGGGTTGAAGGTCTTACCTCCTTGCTGGTGGGGGTGGAAGGGAGCTCTCTGGGAGTGAAGGGGCAGGGCAGTATCACCATGCACAACGTCACCATCATGATGATGTCACATGGAAGTAATGTCATCATGCCGGGGACATTGCATAGCGACACTCTGGTATTTTGGGCAAAACTCTATGTTTACCATAGAGTTTTGCCCAAAATAACAGAGTGTTGCTGTGTGACATCCCTGGCATGTTCATGTCACTTCTGCATAATGTCATCATGTTGGGGACGTTGGGTCATGGCTGTTGGGGGCGGGGCTTCCCCCAGTTGGCTGGTCTCGGGCAGGAGCCTGTGAAATCAGGGGATCCCCTGCTCCCACATGGGGGCTGGCAACCCTACCTTCAAAACATCCTATCATTAACAGCCTTGCTGAGGTCTTGCAACCTGAGAACCTTGGCTTCCTTGATTGAGTCAGTCCATTTCCTGTTGGGTCTTTATTATGAACTGAGATCGAGGCAGCTCTTAACAAGTGATTTCATTTTATTCAGCTCATAGCAACCCTAGACAAACATACATAGAACAATGCTGACTTATATATGATTTGAATGGGCAATACCACACCCAACAAACAGATAACAGCCAATCGGAATACAGAGCTTGGAACCAATGAGAGTGGTTCCCGCTGAAGTCAAAGGCTTCTCTGATTGGCTTATTTGCCAATCCATGTAATTCTATGTTTTAATGGAACAGTGCTTAAGCTAATGCAATGCTTTATTGACTTAAGACATGCTTTCCTCTTTTCCTACTGCTTTTAACTTTTCCTAGCATTATTGTCTTTTCCAGCGACTCTTGTCTTTGCATAATGTAACCAAAGTACAATAGCCTCAGTTTGGTCATTTTGGCTTCTCATGGGAGTTCAAGCTTAATTTGATCTAGAACTCACTGATCTGTCTTTTCGGCAATCTTAAGCACTTCTTATATTCCTCCTGCATACGGCTCACACAACTTATGAGCCCGAACACAGCCCCCCAGCCTAGTATTGTTGCTGAGCAGGTGCTTGGCAGTTCCGCACTGGCCACAAAATCAGGATATTGATTCAGACTCGGGTGAACCAGCCTTTTGGCTGATAAGCTGCTAATGTTTACTACAGATGGAAAAGAAAGTAAACACCACCACATGGCACAAATAATCCATGAGAGGTTTTAGTCTTTGATTAAAAAATGTTGGATAATAGACCGTAGACCAAGGACAAGATGGAGGAGAAGGGAGGAATAGCTGGATGAGTGCAGGGGAATGGAGCTGAGGTTAAGGAGAAGAGGGTTGAATTATCTTCGTTCAAGAATATTAAAGAAGTCTGGGCTGGAAGACTGAAGCCAGTCCCACAACTGCTGGGGAGAGGGAGAGGGACAGAGAGAGAGAGGGACAGAGAGAGAGAGATGCCTAGTAAAGACATACCCTTACTGACAGTCCCCTATTCCTCAGCCTCTTCGGTCTTGTTGAAATCTCCTGTTCCTGTATAATGTGCTCCACTGCCAATGTGGCTGGGATATCAAATATAAATTTTAAGTAATACAGATTTCTTCTTCAGAAAGTTGTGCTTTTTAATCAGCTTTTACCTCACACAGCTGAGGCCCCTTCCTGCTCTGCCCCCCCCCCCTCCCTGTGCTGAGAAGTGTGTGTTTTTTCTCCAGTAAGCCTCTTGGATTTCCCACAGAGGCTAGTGTGCATGTGTGTTTGCGTGTTCACTTTATGGAAGGCACAGCAGGCCTTTATGCAGTCAGTTCACGCTCCATCTTGCAACGAGCACAAAAGCATCACAATCAAATAGATGTGGGGAGAGGCATATTCTGCAACATAAGAGCCTGTATGATAGGCAACTTGTAAAATCAGTGACGTAAAATCCTATTTGAGGAGTATTTCCCACTAGAATATGGGGATATTGTAAATTATGAAGCATATAAAAGTCAGTGTACTTTTCTGCATTGAAAGGCAGCGTTGTCAGAAGCAGTGTTTCATATTACGTCTTGTTATTCTCATGGTAGCATTATTATGTAAAACACACTGAAGGCTTTTTGTTATATAAGTTCTTTGTGATAAGATGTTTCCAATCTAGATGCCTTAAAGTCTCATATTCTAACCCTGTAAGAAACAGCCTCTCTGGGCCTCTGAGACATAGAACCTTCAATATCTAATAGATGATGTTATACAAGCAATTCTTTTCATGATTTGCCTGTCTCCAAACAGTAAACAAATCCAAGGGATCTTCAAGTCCCAAGTTCAAACCCCCACTTAGCCAGGAAATTCTCCAAGTAATTTTGAACTAGTGATTTCTCTCTCTTAGCCCAACCTACCTCACCAGCTTGTGAGGATAAATGGAAAAGGGGAAAACCATTGAACTCTTTGAAGAAGAACAGGATAAAAAATCTAATAGTCTCCAGACATTTACTCAATCTTACTTTTAGAGCATAATCATAGCCCAGATTTAAGTCAGATTTGTCACTCCTTCCCAGGGAACTCTGGGAAATGTAGTTCTTTGAAAGGGCAATAACAGAGAATTCTTATCCACTTTTTCAAACTATAATTCCCAAGTTCTTTCAGGGAAACTGTAATAGACTGATATGAAACTGATATGCTTAGGTATAGAACATTCATCTGTGTCTGATTTCTGTGCCCCCCATTATGATTTAGGGTAACTTCTCCATGTTCTGGACAGTCTCCGATGATGAGAAGAATTCAGGCTGAGTAAGTAACACTTTTTCTTACAGAAAATTTCTTTTCCTCCCCTTTAGTTAATTGTTTAGTCAATTACTATGCTGCCTCTCTGCCCAAGGCAGTTCACAACAATGATAAAACAAACCATTTGCAAATAGTAAAACATCATGATAAAGAACCAATCACAGAATACATGGAAAGAGTACATGGCATTATCAACCCCCCCCCAGTGCAGACACCTGGTTCCCATTTCTTCCCCAGTGTATCTCTTAAATCAAAGAGCTAGTCCTAGGTTTATTTGACTTCAGTGGAGGTATTTCAGAAGAATCCAGAAGGCACTGCCTGTGTGTATATGCAGAGAACACCCATTTGAAAATAACTGCCTCCGTCATAAAATGATACTTGGCTTGGAACTTCCTAACATCATTTAATGTGTCGTGTTAATACTTATGTTTTGCTTCAGTTCTGTTTTTAGACTTCTGGTTGGTTCTACAGCCCTAATCCTGTTGCATTGTTTATTGAATGTCACATCCATTGATTGTATTGACTCACTCTGTGTAATCCACCTTGAGTCCAAGTTAGAAAGCAGACTGTAAATAACATAAATAAACATTTTGTGATGTGGCCCCATTTTGTGGTGGCCACCCACTAACTTCTCCAGATCCCAGAAGTGCCCACCTGTTTGGGACCCTTGCTTCACAATTGGAGGGTGAGTCAGGGAACTAGTGGTAAGAAGCCTGCCTTCATAGATTAAGGGGCAAATTGTTGCTTGCTTTCTTGTTCCATGCTTGGTTTCCAGATGGGGAAATCATGCTCAAAATCACCTGAGCTGTAGACTGCATGATTGGAAGACACTCTAGGAGTGCAACTCACGCTTTCAGTATTAAAAATGTTAGATCCAGCTGAGTGACTGCCACAGCTATTCAAGGTGCTTGTGAGCTATTCAAGGTATTTGTGGTGCTCAGCACACATACCCTACCCACTACACACACACACACACATGCGCACATGCACACACCGAGGTGTCTCCTTTTAGAGACATTATTTGTTTCTATTCCAGGAAATGTAGCAGCACATTAACAGATTTGCATGCTGATGGCTGATTACTTCGATTAAGTCTTTCTGCATTACATTACTTTGAATCTGCTTGCTAAATAATGCTGCTACTGTTTAGACATATTAGCAATTAAATTAGTGTCCTGTTACTTGAGATGTTTTGTCGTGTTTCAATAAACACTTAGTAAAAACGGCACAAAAATAACCTTTAGCATGCTGACAGAATGGCAATAATAAAAAGTCTTGTCAGAGAGAGAAGAAATTAACCCGTTGTCTGCTATTCTAGATACAGTCATGCTTAATATATGAACAAGTTACATAAAACACTCCAGGGCACCTAAATCATCTGTGCTGTGGATGAGGCCACCAACTCTTTCGATCTGGTGGCAGAAATGAAATCATTTTGTCCCCTAGACTGATTATTAGTTTTCTCATTTTTATCCCTCCCTTCCACCACTGAAACCTCACACTGGCTTTCTTAAGCTCTGAGCACCTGTGTATAACTCAGGTTCTCAAGTGGCATTGTTATATCCTGTTTACCTGAAAGGAAGGCCAGGTTTTCTTCCACATGTGCCATGGAAAAAAAGAGGGGGCCATCCTAAATTCACATACAAGTTCCAGTTAAGTACAGCAATTAAAAAAATAGGGGGATCATCCTACATTCAGGGGTCATCTTCCTTTCAGGTAAATACAATAACTTGTGGGCTTCTGTTGGGAGGACCCTCAGATCTTAGTGGGGAAATCCCAGCAAACTAGCCAGCCATTTCAGAGTAAATTTTGCAGCACATGTAGAGACTACCGGATGTCCCCATGAGTAGCAGTTTTCCACTGATAACAAATTAATGGCCAATGTTTACGTCTCTTCTTAAGTTTGCTAAATATCTTTGCTCAGAGACTGACAGTAGATTTTCCTGTTATCTGTGCAGAGAAGAAGAACTTCTGTATTTGAGTTTCATCCAGGACATAACAGATGAGATCCTGAAACTTGGATTGTTTTCTAACAGGTTGGAGGTTTTGCGTTTCACTGTAAATCCTTGCAGTGGCAATGTGTGTAGCCTTAAAAGCTAAAATGAAACAATCGGGAGATTTATAATCACCATTGTGCTGCCAGTGCTGGAGGAAGAAACGCTGTGGGCACTACTTGGGGAACAAATCCAACACGTCGCTTGTGTTTGCTTTTTTCATTCTTTGTCCTCGCTGGAAACTGCCTGAGCAGCATCCAGAGGCCGAAAACACTGTGTCAGCAGCATGGCCCAACTGCAGTTGGATGGAAGAGCAGCATCAACTTGTCCAAAGTCCCCACATATTGAGTGAATGAGACCCAGTCCTACCTTAATGTCAAGGGAGGCCCAGTAAACTAGGGCTAAATCTCATCTCCCGCCCCCCCTGCCCCCAGCCACAGCATCTTGCCGAGCTCTGTAACAGTGAAACAGCGATTGAGAACTTCACCCAAGAAGACGTACGCTTAGGTCTAGCATATTTCCAACACAATATTTATTTGTATTTATATGTCTTTTATTCAGATATTTATGTTTCATTCTTCTTTCTCAATGGGGACTTGGAGCAGAATATAACATTGCACTCCCGTCCTCCCTATTATCCTCACAAAAACAACACTGTGAAGTAGGCTAGGCTGAGGGAGGAAGCGGCCTGCCCTTAGTCACCCAGTAAGCTTCCATGGCAGAGCAGGGATTCAAACTTGGGCCTCGCAGATCCTAGTCCACCACTCTTATCACTACACCACACTGGCTCTCCCAGTGTCAGAGAAGGCACTGAACTTTTGGAGTTAAGTTAGCATTTCATTTTCTGGGAGGGGGAGATTTTTCTGCATAACCCCCTCATTCCTAATACTTTTTTTTTTTAAGGGCTTTGGAACGGCTGTTTGAGCGTCACATACACCAAAATAAGAATCATCTCAATGAGGTTGGTCCTGTTTGTAAAAGTCAACAGTGCTAAGTATATGAAAATGAATTCAAAGATAGTTTCCAAAAGGCTTTCAAAGAAGGGGGCTGGGCTGTGACACATGCTTGCTCTAGGGAGGGACCCAGGTTCAATCCTGGCACCTCCAGCCCAAGAACAGAAGGGGTCACGTACTGGGTGGGGAAACGTTTCTGTGCCTGAGACTAGGGAAGCTGCTGCCAGTCTGTCAACAGAGTTGTGCTAGATGGACTAATAAATGGCGTACTACTTTGTACAAGACAGCATCATACATTCAAATGATGTCATTGCTAGTGCCTAAGAACCTACTTTACTAAATGGTAGATTTGTGCTCACTCTCCCACACACACTTGTGCGCAAAATTTCTGTCTCTCCCCTCTTAAAACATGGTATAATCTTACATACCTATTAGAAATTCCAAATAAAGTTATCATTTGTAAGTACATGGAGCGACCTTAATCTGAGTCAGACCCTTCATCTATCAAGGTCCAATGTCTGCTCAGACTGGCAGCAGCTCTTCAAGGTCTCAGGCCGAGGTCTTTACCTGATCTTTTAAACTGGAGTTGCTGGGACTGAACAAGGTACCTTCTGCATGGCAGGTAGATGCTCTGCTGCTCAGCCACGGCTCCTCCTTCCCCTTGAAGGAACCCATTGGAAGAAGCTGCTACTTGATTCCTTGTGCTCTTAATCTGTCTGTTATCCAGTAGCCCAAGCTCATTTCTGAAAACGAAATCTTTCACCCTTCCTTTCTTAAATGACATCCTCTTTTTTGTTGTTTTTTAAAAGCAACTTTGGTATCATTTCTTCTTTTCAACCTTAGACCAAAATGCGTCACCTGTTGGAGATCCTGAAGGAGGACTTGGGCTGCAACCAAGAGAAAAAAGAAGGGTTTGGTCTAGTTCGGAATGAGCCAGCAGAACACCTCCAGCTCCCCCACAAACTGCAAAGGCAAAAAAGTGAGGAGTTTTTAAAGGCAATGGATTTACTAGCAAGCGAAGCAGCTCCATCGAGACCGCCGGCATGCAGCAATGCATTCGAGAAGGTGGAGGGCAAAGAGAGCTTTTCCAAAGGCCTAAGGGGCTCATTGAATGCAGGGCTGGACCCACCCCCTTGCCCAGCACATGAAGAAAGCCCAGCCACCTCATGCACCATGCCACCAACACTTGGTTCTACCACCTGCGACGCTGACTTTGAAACCAGCGAGTCTTTGCAGGAACTTGATGAACTCCAAGAAAGCATGGCGGAATCCCTTCGCCTCACCACTGACAACGCAGAACAAGCCAACAACTAGCAGCAAAGTACCAAGAAACCAGCAGCGTAAAGATCTGGGACGTTGCTCATTCAATAAAATGCTAGCAAACCATCTCCTCCCCCCCTGTTTTAGATGCACTTGAAACCACTTGTACTTTGGGTCCTAGTATTATGAATCAGGCTTTAGTGATTGGAGTACTTACATTGTAGAGGGCAAGAAGTACATTTTTGCCAAGCTCAGCTGCATACGATGGCAGATTTGCTGAAAACGAAAAACGTAGAGGGTATTAAATATATATAAAGGCAGGTGTGATTATTTATAAAGCTATTTATAATAAATGGATACAACATTTGCTATAGTAAAACCTGAGAGTCGTTGCATTCATATGCCTTTATTGTTGTAAGACACTACAGTTTTACCTAGTACTTCGCAGCAATTACCTATATGCTGGTCCGGTGATTACGTGCAGTTATGGGAGCTCCAGTGGGCACTTGGACATGTCGCCCTGTAAGAATTTCCCTGTTTGTTTTGTTGAAGGCAACTCCTGCTTGGGAACACACCTCCATGGCAGATGAGAGCACAAATCAGCTGATGTGTGGGGGGGGGGGTTGGTTCCAGTCACCCACTTCCCGCCTCTCAGCAAAAGATTAGCAGTGCTGACCAACTGTTGGGTGGGAGAGATCTTTGCATGCAAGAGCACAGCCTGCTGTTTTGTATGTGATCAGGCCAAGAAGCAATACAAACCAAGGGTAGCTAAGCTGTTATACTTGAGAGTGATTCCAGTCTCTTCAAAGAGGGGTCCAGGGTGGAGAAGTGTGTATTACTGCACAAACGGTCACCCCCACCTGAGTAATCAGAATATAGTTACCATCGACTCTCAGTAATGGCATGTGCCCACTCTCAGGATCAGCAGTAGCATTATATATAGCATCCAAAGAGGATATTGTAAAATGTGGAATCAGTGTGTGTCATGTTACTGAAACTGGGCAAATGTTTTTGATGACACGTGGGTAGAAGAAGGATCAGATCAAATGTTTGTGCAGCTCCAGTCTAGTTCAAAGGCCACCTGGTGGTCATCTTTATTGTGAAAAACGTTCCTGTCCTTGTCTTCATTAAGTGTCACATTCTTAATTGTGCAGTGAAAGAGTGCCCTCTGCCTTTTGCTTTACGCCGTATCAGGTGAGGAAAGCAAAAAACAAAACAAAAACCTTTCATTAGAACACTCATTTTGGGTCCTTATTTTAATGTGCAGTTTCTCTTTCTCATTAAGGCTGCGATTACAAAATGTGATGTGTAATCTCATCTCTATTATGGGACTGCTAAGTCCCATCTTGTTTCTAAGCATCCATGTGCAATTTACAATGAATTTGGGGGGGGAAAAGGTGACTAATGATTTTTTTGTCTGGCTAAAGGGAATGCATGTGCAGCACCTGTTCACTAAGTACGTCAGCTGGGAGTCCTGGTACGGATGAGGAAAGCTCCCCTGCTGGTACATACTGGGTTAGATTCAGACTAACATTTCCATGGGTGCAAGGATTTTGGTCATCAAGGGAGATTTCCCCCTTCTTCCATGGCAATTCAAACTGTCTTCCCCTCCCCTGCCCCCAAAATCTTGTTTCTGGGAGTTCCCAGATTGGGGGGGGGCGACATTTGGGGTTGGAGAAGGGAGGCAGGAAAATTAGCTTTGCGAGTGGAAATCCTTACTGCAGAAGTGTCTAGTCTGGATCCAAGCAACTATAAATATCTTGAGCTTTAGCATGCTGTTCAGATACCATAGACAATTTTTTTCATGGTCCAACTGTTATTACCCTGGGAAAGAGCTAGATTTTTGTCCAGTAGCACCTTAGAGACCAGTAAGCTTTTCAGAGTATAAACTTTGGGGAGTCAAAGCTCTCTTTGTCAGATTACATGTTGTAAATCAACACTACATTTTAGTCTTCTTGTTTACTTTTAGGATCATGAATTTAATTTACAGCAAACCCAATTTAGAACTTGATATTCAGAAATGACCACTCTTCAAAATGTGACTGAGCTTTTCTTTCCAAGTTTTTAAAGGATTCTCTGTAGTCTAATATCCCATTGAATTCAGATTCATCTTTTGATAGGGATTTATCTCGTTATGCAGGGCTACTAGTAAGTGCTCAGAACTAGTTGAGCATGATTAGAGGTGTGAAAGAGGGAGTATGTACACCCAACCTTAACTCTAAATAAAAGCATGTTTCCCCCCCATATCTTCCAATATTTATACATCAAATTTATAGGTAGTTAGCACTGCTAACTTAGCAAAGCTCTAGGAATAGCTAGGAGACAGGAGGGACTGGGAAATGCACTTCATTGCATGTATCCCTTAATCCCCAATTCCTTCATTTGTAATAACATAAACTGTTAGGGGCTTGAGCATGTTGGTTTCACTACCCTAGTAATAGGCACAGGACCACTATCCATTCTTAGATCATTCCTCCATTTTATCCTCACAACAATTGTGTGTGTTAAGTTAGGTAGAGTGTGTATGATTGATTGACCCAAGGTCACTATGGCAGACCAGGGACTGGAACCTGGGTCTCCCAGTTCCTAGTTCAGCATAGTAACCACACAACAAACTGGTCCAAACTTGGGAACAGTGATCATAATGTTGTTGAGTTCAACATTTGTACAAATAGGGAATTGGCCAAAAAGACTCACACAACCACTTTTAACTTTAAAAGGGGTAATTTTTCTGATATGAGGGGACATGTGGGGAGGAAACTGAAGGGAAAAGTAGAAAGGGTCAAAACCATTGGGGAACCTTGGAAACTATTTAAAACTACAATTCTAGAAGCTCAGAAAAAATATATTCTGCAGGTTAGGAAAGGCACAAACAGGTATAAGAAAAAGCCTGCATGGTTAACAAACAAAGTAATGGAAGCTGTAAAAGGTAAAAAGGATTCCTTTAAGCGGTGGAAAGCTAGTCACAGTGAGGCTGATAAAACAGAACACAGGCTATGGCAAATAAAATGCAAGTCTGTGGTCAGGCATGCAAAAAGGGAATATGAGGAGCATATAGCAAAAAATGTAAAGACCAACAATAAAACTTTCTTCAAATACATTAGAAACAGGAAACCAGCCAGGGAGGCAGTGGGGCCCTTGGACGACCAAGGGGTAAAAGGAATACTGAAGGATGATAGGGAAATGGCTGAGAAGTTAAATGCATTTTTTGCCTCCGTCTTCACTGTGGAAGATGAGAGGTGCTTGCCCACTCCAGAGCCGCTGAGTTTGGGAGGGGTGTTGAAAGATCTGAGTCAGATTGAGGTGACGAGAGAGGAGGTC